TTAATTGCATGCACTTCTCTGCAAATTCCCCTCCCCCATTTAATTGCATGCGCTTTCCACGCTCCCCCGCCCCCATTAAAACTGCCAGCTGTGTAACGTTAATTGCATGTACTTTGCTACATCTCTATTCTCTCCCTCCCGTTAATTACATGCACGTTTCCCCGCAGTTGGTTGCACAGAGCCCCGAGTGGTTGCCTGCAGTGAGGAGACTGGTGCGTGTACTGATGGAGGCCTTGGCCTGGCCACAGGGGCAGCTGGGGGTGCTCTTTACCTCCAGGAGTGGTAGAAAACAGGGTCCCCCCGGGCGTGGTGCAATAGTCATGAGGTAGCTGCGTGGCGTCGCTGATGGGCACCGTCCTGGTGGGGATGGCCCGGCTCTGGCTGTGCTGGTGGCCGCCGGAGGAGGACATCTCCCTGCTCTATTGTCCCGGCTGCTGGGGGAGGTAGGTGGCCGGGGGAGGGAAGGGGGCAGAGACGCTGAAGGAGGAGGTGGTGGAGGCGGCGGCGCTGGACTCACTCCGGGGACGGGGGGAGGGCAGCAGCCGCCTCTCTTCTCCGGTTCCTCGGCACTTTCTCTCGGTCCACCGCCTCCACCGCCACCTTCTCCCTCGGCCTCCGCCAGCAGCAGGAAACCCGGGGCGGGGGCCGACGGCCGAGAAGGGAGGGGCGGGACGTGCAGGGAGGAGCAGCCCGGCGGGTGGGGGCGGCCTGTGGCAGCTGCAGCTGCGCGAGCTGGTGGGGCCGTTCCGGGCACGCGGCTCTGCGCCCCCCCAGCGTTTTGTGCCACCCGCTCCTCGGGCCCAGCGGGGAGGCGACTCGTCCCCTTGTACACAGGCCGCGCCAACGGGGACTGCGCCTCGGCTCGCGAGCTGCTCGGATCTCCTGGGCCAAGCTCGCCGGAGAGCCGTACGTAGAGCTGGCAACATGCTTGGGACACACGTGTGTGTTCAGTACACCATGTGCATGCTGGGTGCACCGATCTACGTGCACGTTCGGGTTGGTGTGCACGTGCCTGTGGTGCAACAATGCCTTGCAGGGCTCGCTTTTATTTTATTTATACACTGATTACTAACGGTGCCTAATGTACTCTACAGACATAAAAAAGAGACAGTCACTGCGTTGGGGGGTTGACAATCTAGATTTCTGACCTGGTGCAGGAGTGAGAGTGACGGGGAGGACAAGGGATGCAAAAAAATAAGGCCAAGAACATCTAATAAAATAAGTACTGTACCATATATAGCAACAGAGCTCTATGCCTATTTTTTGTAACATGGGATTAAATAATAAGGAACTGGAACTTCTCTAAAGAAAATACATGTTGCTCCTAAGCGGTGGTTGCTCTTAACAAGGTGTTGCTGTGAACAAGCATCTGCTTACTGTGGTTCGGTTAGATAATGGCGCCCACATACGTAATTTAAACACAGCGCTCTGGAGATAAACTATATAGCATAAATGACTAATATTTGGATTTTTTTAGTCTAAAGTTCCTATCAAAATATACCATGATATTGTCTCTAAAAGCGACTTGGATTTTTTTGTCCTTGCTTTATATTTTCTCTCTGGAGTCTCAATTCTCTTTCTGTTTTTCTAGACTTTCATTTTAAGTATTGTCTCTGCCTCTTTCTACATCTTCATCCACAAAATGGCATTGATTGTGCTAGTGCTATTTTGTAACCCAAAGTACCATGAAACTGGCTTTCTTGCAATATTTTGCTGTAGTGCTGTTGTTTTTATTAACTGTCAGGGTAATTAGGGCAACTTTATTATCATTACCATACTTATATGCTGATTTGTTCAGTAAAATGCCTAAGGACAAGTTTCAGAGGGGTAGTCGTGTTCGTCTGGATCCGTAAAAAGCGACAGAGTCTCCTGTGGCACCTTATAGACTAACAGATGTATTGGAGCATAAGCTTTCGTGGGTGAATACTCACTTCATCAGATACATGTAGTGGAAATTTCCAAGAGGCAGGTATAAATATGCAGGCAAGAATCAGTCTAGAGATAATGAGGTTAGTTCAATCAGGGAGGATGAGGCCCTCTTCTAGCAGTTGAGTTGTGAACACCAAGGGAGAAGAAACTACTTTTGTAGTTGGCTAGCCATACACAGCCTTTGTTTAATCCTGAGCTGATGGTGTCAAATTTGCAAATGAACTGAAGCTCAGTAGTTTTGCTTTGAAGTCTGGTCCTGATGTTTTTTTGCTGCAGGATGGCTATCTTTAGATCTGCTATTGTGTGTCCAGGGAGATTGAAGTGTTCTCCTACAGGTTTTTGTATATTGCCATTCCTAATATCTGATTTGTGTCCATTTATCCTTTTACATAGGGACTGTCCATTTTGGCCAATGTACATAGCAGAGGGGCATTGCTGGCACATGATGGCGTATATTACATTGTTGGACGTGCAGGTGAATGAACCGGTGATGCTGTGGCTGATCTGGTTAGGTCCTGTGATGGTGTCGCTGGTGTAGATAGGTGGGCAGAGTTGGCATCGAGGTTTGTTGCATGGATTGGTTCCTGAGTTAGAGTTACTATGGTGTGGTGTGTGGTTGCTGGTGAGAATATGCTTAAGGTTGGCGGGTTGTCTGTGGGCGAGGACTGGCCTGCCTCCGAAGGCCTGTGAAAGCGAGGGATCATTGTCCAGGATGGGTTGCAGATCACTGATGATGCATTGGAGAGGTTTTAGCAGAGGACTGTAGGTGATGGCCAGTGGAGTTCTGTTGGTTTCTTTCTTGGGCTTGTCTTGCAGCAGGAGGCTTCTGGGTACTCTTCTGGCTCTGTTGATTTGTTTCCTTATTTCGTCATGCGGGTATCGTAGTTTTGAGACTGCTTTGTGAAGATCGTGTTGGTCTCTGTCTGAAGGGTTGGAGCAAATG